GAGAGAGAGAGAGAGAGTGCTATGGTCGATTCAGACTTCCGGTCCGCCAGCCCGCCCTTGCTCTTCCTCCGCCTCCTTGCCCTAACGGCCTCGTCGCCGGCGGAGACGGTGCGCCTGGATCTCTTCCTGGTGACGAGAGGAGAGGCGTGGCGGAGGAGGGCGGAGGAGGGCGGAGGGGCCGGCCGGGGTTCCGTCGTCGAGCTCGGCGAACTTGCGGAGGAGCTCGTCGGACGACGCCTTGCTCACGTGCTGCACCTTCGCCGTCTCCATCCTGTCTTAGATCTCGCAAATGAATGAGGCGGAGCAGATGGAATCGAAAACAGAGAGAAAGAACCGTTTAGGACAGAGTAAGAGAAAGTGCGGTGCTCAAAGCGGCAAAGAAGAGGGAGGAGTGACCGTTGGGAGAGCGCGCGCTGTGGTGGTGATGACGGTGGTCTCGATGGTAGCCTTCATAGCGGGGGAGGAGTCGCTTCGTCAATGCGGGAATATAGCCGTTGGGAGGCAGCTTGAATCCGGTCGCTGTCCAAGTCGTGATCTGAGTCGCGACGTGAAAGGTTTGTGATGCCTTGGTCGGTCAATCGACGTTCCCATGTTCACTCGACTTCAAACAAAACCTGAGAAGAAGCTCCATAAGTTGCAATTACTTTGCAGGAAAACAGAGGCAGTACAAGTTGTATTGGATGTTACAGAAAGGAACGGAGAGAGAATCAAATGATCTTAGGAAGGTGGGCTTACAGTGAAACCAACAACTCAGCAGAGAAGCAGGAAGACTACAACACCAGCCAAGATGGTAGGGAGTGGAGGGCCACCTGCAACATCCGAGCCGCCATCTGCTTCTCCTGCTGCCGTGGGATCTGCGAAAACTATGGCACCCTGAGATGTAAAAAATAATAATTTTAATTTTAATATTTCAGTTATATATTTTTTAATTATATTATAATTAAAAATTTTAATTGACTATTATGATGATAACGGACGGTGGCACTATCGTGTAGAGGCGGCGTAGCCCATTCTCGGTAATAGTAGGGCGTGAACCTTGAAACCATCGAGATATTTCTCGTGTTGGTGTACTATGAGGTTAAGGGGCTGAAGGTAAGGAATGAGGTGCTTGAGTGTATGATATGTTTCAGCGAGTTCGAGGACGACGATGAGCTCCACCTCTCCCCTTGTTGCAGTCACATTTTTCACTTGGACTACATTGACGCCTAGCTCGCCTCTCACATAACTTGTCTCGTCTGCCATGCTAACCTTGTTGAGCAAGTTGCCAATGACAACCTCGACTTACTACCTGTAGCCACTCCTACTATAGATGCAACGGATCTTCAGCTCGAAATCGTTGCCTCACCACAAGATCATGTTGCCGTCGAAATGGACCCATAGTAGAAAATGAGTAAAAGGGTGTAGCCACGGAATTGGCATGGATTGGAAGTAAGAGGTAGGTGACCAACGAAGCTCCAGCAGTCTGAGTAGTGTTGACGCAAATGTCCCTCCTATCGATGCAGATGCAAAGCAGTGATAGAGGAGGAAGAGAGGGGAGATTGATAAGCAAAGGGTGTACCAATCTACATCTTCCGCTGGTCAGACCTCGGAATGTTTGTGACTGCTTTCTTCCTCTCCTCTTTTGTCGCCACCACTGTGGGTCCACAACAATGGTGACATGATCCTATGGTTGGGCAATAATTTTCTACTGAAGACTCATTATGTTTGTAGCAAGGATGACTATAGATAATAGGCTAAGTTTGTTATCATCGTCTTGCTTGGTGAGGTTAACGCGATAGATATATAAATTACGTGAGAGGTGAGTCAAGCATCAATGCAATCCAATAAAAAGTTATGACTACAACAAAGGAGGTAGAGCTCCTCATCATCCTCGAACTCTGCTAAGGAACATTGTACACTCAAGCACCCCCTTGCCCACCTTCAACCCCTTAACCTCATAGTACACCAACATAGTGAATATCTCAAGAACCTCAACTACACCATTTGCCACTATCACAATAATCAACTAAGAAATTTTAATTAGGATATAAAAAAACTAAAATATTAAAATTATTGTTTTACTCATTATTTTTAAACTATCTTTACACCTGCTATCATATCTTTCACTAATAAAACCAACGATATTAAGATAAATAAGATTAAATATTTTATTTTCATAACTATAAAAAATTTAACATAAATTCTTTTAAGTTTAAAGATCAAAATACTAAAAAAATCTAACTACAAAAAATAATATATAATTAACCCAACTTCTAGATTGCAAGCAAAACCGAACAAGTTTTAATGAGAAGTGGCTGCACCATTAGCCTTCCAACATATACCGTTACATAGATGATAAATGTCGGTTCCACAGTATCATCATAAATATCAAAAATACATTTCAGGGGCTGATCACAGCATGCAGAAGACAAATGACTTGTTGCACTTTGTTGCCACACCAACGAAAGAAGGTTGGCCTGGCATAAGTTAGAAGAACAATATGAAACTGGGTTGCTGGAAGCCAAAACATGGTACAAGATTTCGACGTTTTTTGTTACACGAGAAGGACAAGCATTACAATTAACCACCAGTTATAATTAATCAATCAGCAAGATGATGGAAGACAACCAGTTCTTTGTCATATTGTATGTGCCAGAATATATTACACATTCAAGCCAGTTGAGAAACTGAGAGAATGACATTCAAGATTCCTCAGATTTAGCTGTATGCAAAAAAAAAAAAGTTAACAGATGAAAGGATACCAATGAAAATACTGGATGCATATAGCGATCAAAGAGTAAAGCACATCAATCAATTAAAAAAGTGTTGCAGCAGAGATGGACCTAACAAAGAGGAATACATGAAATCTCATTCATTCAGTTGATGGCAAATTGGAATCGAAGAACCTTTTAGGAGATAGGTGTGCCCGACGCTGATGCTGCAGCCTAGGGTTAGTTGATTTTTATGGTGTTAGGAATGAGTCAACTAGGCTAAAAATTGAGTCGCATGTGCACTTTGACTGCCTTCTCAAGATTTTATTTATATGCATCATTATGTTAAAAGTGATTTTGGGATGAACATAACCCCCAACTGGAGTAGAATGAAGCATGAGTCAACTGTTGGTATATGTGGATTTCAGAAGTCTTTTGAATTTTGGTTTTGTTCCTCCCAAAATCACTAGAACCATTAGAACCAATATGCAACAAAGGAGCCTTTTGAATTTCTGTTTTGTTTATCTCCATATTTTGTAATAAAGTCCTATGACAACCTTTTTGCTACTGAAAGCCCAACTAAGAACTTTAGTCTTATATATAGTTTTAAAAAAAGATTGGCTGCAATGAGAACTGTGCACATGGTTTGTGGGAACGGGCCGTAAAATATTAGCATAGCTATTAAACAGTAAAGTGTCAGACAACCTAAGCATTAAAACATGCAAGTAATAATACTCTAAATATCATCATTCGTGATGTTTTAAATTAGTCTTCTCAACATATATAACCATTTTGGCAGAAGGAAAAAAAAATTATGATTCTCTTTCACATACTAAACAGGTTTTTGAATCTCAATTGACATGAGAAATTTTGAAGCCATGAACCAGCACACAGGAACATACCATGACAGCAACTCCAGTCTCACAAAATTTTGGAATGCAGATAAGCCTCACAGATTGGTTGTCAGACCCTGCATGGAAGCAGAATAGTTTATATCAATCCAGAGACAGAAACCTAACATGAAAAAGACCTGATGAAATTACCTTGTAATAACGTGGTTTCATACTTATCTTGATTACCAACAAAATAAACATGTGGACAGCTCTCAACGAGGAAAGGGTCTTTATCGGTGAAGGGATAACATCCTACATACAAAAACATGGGAAGACTAACAGAATCATTAAAATTGTGTAGCAAATGAAATTATAACTGTCATCAGTCTTCAGCAGAAGAAACAAATGGCTAACTTCTCATTCAAGGCTGTAAGCATGTCCAGTTCCACTTAGGTAATTAAAAAAAGGGATTTGCTAGAGTAATATTACCAAGGGTGTTTGGAGCTGTTGGTACCAGGTGCCTCCATCTTAATGTCCTCTCCATAAATTCAAGCTTGTTTTTTGCCTCAGAATACTTGAAAAGATCATCTATATTTTGTCCAGATGTTCCTAGGAACCTAAACATCACCACCGCTGTTAAGCTCCTGTTTTGCACATGGACATAGTTGACTACAAGAGATTCTCGCTGCTTACTGAATATCATCCAGCTCAAATTGATGAGGATTAGTGCATGAAATAAATGTATTATAGGCAGATGCTCCAGGAAATAAACATCTGTTTAAGGGCTGATTAAAATAACATAAATCAATACATGAACCAAGTAATTAATACATAACAATGCATATTTTTCTATCCACACACCCACAAAGACAATAATATATATCGGTGAATGTTAGCACAAGATGTTCGCTTTCACCAAAATGGAAAAGTAGATAGACCTGCTGAGGTAAGGAAAAGTTTGCTGGATCACTAGGTCCTGGCATGATATCAACAGGCATAGCCGCTGCAAGCTGCAAACACATAATAGGTAAGTCGGACGAAGACAATGTTTTCGTTTAAACTCTCTAGACCATGACAAGAAAAAAGATGAATTACAAATTCCAATAAGATTCTACACTATGACAAAACTTCTGTTCTGAAAGGTGATCTTAAAATGCTCCTCTAGGAAATGGATCGGTAACTTTGTATTTTAAGAATCCATACCTGATTTAATAAAATATCGAGCTCCTTAATTGGTTCAGTTAAGGTAGACTGATCCCTCGGAGCAATTGTCTGATACCAAAATGCTCGCAAGAGGCAAGCTAAAAATCATCAGAAACCTCACAAAAGAATCTCATGCACCAGGTTATAGAAAGATAAAAGTTAAATGAAATACCATATCCTCAAAAGTATATATATATATGGGCATGAAGATTTTGAGTACTACCTGACCATTAAGAAGTCCCTGTAGAATTTGTACAGAATTCCCAGCAATTATAAAATGAACTATTTGAGATGCAAAGGTTTGTTCCTGTTGTATAATATTTCATAAGTTATTCCATATACTGATTTCAGGAAAATATATAATACATAGGTCGAGCATACATTTTCATCACCTAAATGCCCAGTGATATGGTCAACAAGAAGTTGGAACTGAAGAGGATTGAAAGTGCTGCTCCCAATACTCAATCCTGACACGAAGACAACATATTTGTCTTCTGCTGCAGCAAAATTGAGATATTAGACATCAAAAAAGAAGTACACAAGTCAAACAGAACTGTGGCCTTTAAGGCTAAAGCTTTACTTTCTAACTTGCCAGTGAGTATAATTGCATTCCCAACAAAGACATCACATAAATATTAGTTCAGATACTCATCATTTACAGTGTTGAGAAAAGGTCAAATGGTACAATACTCGAGCTAGGTGGCTGATCGATCTGTGGGGGTAGACCAGCTTCCAGCATATCAAGAACAAAAAACTTGCCTTCACTAGTTTCCTTTCCATGTACGGCAACTACAATTCCTGCCAGAGAGGGAACACCTTACATGAACAAGGGAAATCGTTTCTATACATACATTACAAAGAATTTTCTTACACCATAAGATCTATATAAAACCTTAAATAATAAGCTATTTAATGTGGAACCTGTTACAAAAGCTGAAGGATCGAGCAAACTTCCAGCTAGTTTAACCCTTCCACTTTCATCTTCCAAAATAAGATGATCATCAGGGTGCACAAAGTTATGAGGCTTCGCCAGAGGAACTTTAGATCTCTGAATACACAAACAAGGTCAAAAGGGAAGTATATTCCAAGAGAATAAGTAGGCATTTAGTATGGTTTTCAACCAAAATGGTATCACTGATGTAATTTCACCTCCTTAGAGTATTCATCAAGAATAGAAGGCTTGAGTTTCATGTGCTTGTATATTGTGCCCACGATGATGCATTCTTTCTCTTCTTCAAGCCCCAAAACTGTATTAACTGCAAAAAAAAGAAAAGCGAAAGCTGAGACTGAAAAAAAAATCTGCACAAAGTGATTAGACAATAATTTCAGATTTGTAACGAATACATCCTAGCAAATACTTATAAAAGTATATCGGTAAGGTAATTTTACAACCATATTATTGTGAAGTCACCTAGCAGCCAGTATGATAGCTTCACATCTGACCACCCTAAGAGATCCATAAAGCACATATGGTAGAACCTTACTCTTTCAATATATCTCATGTTTGCAGAGGCAATTTGTGACATGAGGAATGTTTCAATGAATATGTGAAAGGCCTTGAAGCGGGCATTCATCTACCTAATGACACCAAACAAACTAAAAACACAATTTAGCCATACTCTGTTCTTTTCGCCTAGGCTTTTAAGTGGATTCAGAGTATTTGAATATTTGATTTATACAGCAACCGCTACGATGAGGTCTCTAATTTGAACTACTAAATATGGCCCTTAACTAGTCTGAACTAGACAATCACATCAGGTTTCTCAAGAGAGGAATGAATAGCAGTGCTGAATTTCCTTTTTCATACATCATTGATTTGTAGTGATATCACTATATCAAATATTTTAACTGAAACCAAATATATACCCTTAGATAGGTAGTGTGAGGAAGGTCTGAGTTCTTCCAAGTGCCAATATATAGCAGAAAGAATACAACTTTTTCCATTAAGCCCATTTTTCCTGTGAACTAATTGAAATTTTTGCTGTGTAGCAGGCACTCAGATTATTTGTCTTTTAAAATGCACTCAGAGAGATAACCTGGAGAAACTTTTTCTAATTCAGAAAGACACAATTTCACAACAAGAACCTTAAAGATGATTGGTATGTGATCAAGCTTGACCAGCAGAATCAGGAAACTTACATATTGAAAAAAACCTAGTGAAGCATTTTCCATTTCTTCATCTTAGTGCCTCAATATGTGCATAACATAATTTGGAACTTGCATGATCCAATAAACAGTCACCTCCATTCAAAAGGAATGACAGGACAACCAAGCTAAATCCGCTATCTAATAGCAACAACATGATATCGAGATATAAGCAAAGGGATTTCAAGACAAAACCTAAACTTCCACACACAGCAAGTCATCAGAGAGCTGTATGGACTCACCAGGGAGGTTGGGCTTCCACTTAGGGACGAGCGAATAAAGGAGATTCCTCATGTAGTGTAGCCGAGTAAAGTAGATGTGGCTGTACTGCTGCCCCTTGTACGTCTCACCGTGGATCTCATACCTCTCATCCTGCGATCAAACCCCAAGAGATCAAAAAGGAAAAAAAAAAGGGGGGGAAAATCGCCAAAGTTCCACACAAGGATCAGAAGACACGGGAGACGTAGGGATCCGAGAATACCAGATTCCTGTAGACGGCTTGCTTCCTCTCCAAGAGCTTCGGGCTTCCTCCGCCCATCTCGACGTCTACTTTCATGGCGGGAAAACGAAGGAAAGGGGAAGGGTTTCAGAATTGCGAGCGCCACTCCCGCCCCCTTTACTTGCTATGGGCGGAGGGAAGCGGATCGACTCGATGATCAAAAACACAATACACTGTGATCTGTTTGTAGTCGATCGACGCGTGGAATGAATAAGCTGGGCCCAAGCGACACGATCATCACTCTGACGTTACCGGGTTGCGACTTCCCGACTCGTACCCGATCCGCTGAGTTGACAAATGAACGGTCGAGATCGATCAGAATTGTATTGTGCATTTGTCCTTGAAAACTAATGGATGATTAGTATCTATCATCAGATCATAATGAAACGATAAATATGGCATTAAAATAAATCTAACGGCTCCGATCGGCCTTCAGACCAGATAAACGGTCGTGATCTATCATCAAATCCATCTCATCACCACCGATGGTAGAGATAAACGGTCATGATACACCATTAAAATAAATCTCCAAAAGATATCATCACCAAATTCATCCTCAAATCATATGAATATTGTGAAACACATATGAAATATGAAAGTGAAACATAATATCCCTAATTTTTATACCTACGAAAGCGAAATATTTGACCCATTACTTCAACAAAATTAATTTTTCTTTTAATTTTTAATCTTATAAAACTATCTTTTTGACCTTTGATAAAGATTTCAATATTTTACTTTCGTAAATAAAAATTTTTAATATAATTTTTAAAAATAAAAAATAAAATACTAATGATCATTAATTAAAAGAGATAATTACTAACCTATCATGATTATATTCTAAGGACACTAGAAATTTTCATGTTACTGTTCACCATGAATGCACAACAGTTCGCTCCTCTCAGATCATCATGGCCAATTATCTTGTTGTGTGACAGGATATGTTTCAGTGAGTGCTTGATCTGAGAGAATGTTCTAATAGGAATCCTGTTTCAGTTCCCTATTCCTCCAGAGTAAGACGGGGGTTGAAATCTGAGAGAATGTGGACTACTGTATTCTCTGTTCTATAAGTGGAACTTTTTGGCCATGCGTTTGACTTCTCAACTTCAGTACACAGACAGCTGAACTTGATCTTTGCTCATGAACTGATGTACCATTTAACTTGATCTTTGTGGCTTACTGTTGTCTCCTCTTGCTTGCTGTAGAACTCACAGATGATGAGTCTGTTTCTGTAGGCAAACATCAGTTTAAGATGGTCTTGTAGCTCTCATTGTTGCAGTCAATCTTTCAGAGGCTGAATGCCTGTTACTGATCATAAACCCATTAGTAGATAATGCACATATTTGAAGAGTCAACAACAACAACAAAATCGTAACCCCCAACATATATTTGAAGATTGATTAAGCAAAAGAAGAAAAAAAATCTTCATCCTCCTCAAGTCATACATCAGGATGACCAGAACAGATGCTAACTTTAAGTTATTACAGAAGAACAAGGAAGACTAATCAAATTACACATAAAAGAGATGCCAACAAGATAGTGAAGGACATCCCTAGAGGAGGCAAGATGAGGAGGAGGTCAAGCAGAGGACAAGATATGGATGTCTCAAGGAGTTGGGAAGGTGGGACTGGACATCAAGCCAACTCACCAACCCACTAAGTCTTTAGGGAGAATTCATTAAGGGAAGTGAATATTAATCTTGGAGAGGATGGTTTAATGCAGAAAGTTGGTCACAGCTAAGACTAGGAGACAAGCAGCAACATTGTATGTATATAATATGCTAGCTTTGTGATTAAGCTGCCATGTATATTATATACTCAGCTGTCATACAGGAGATGATGATGGTCAAAGCCTAAACTTGAGTGTTCTGTTATTCCATTCTCACCTCTCACCTTCCCCACTCATACTTGAGAGATGATGAGAGTTAGATTTACCTAGACCAGTAGCCTTTTGGCTTTATATGCTCAATTAATTGCCTGCTTTGGCATAACAGCAGCAGAATATTGATTATGGCCACTCCTTTACAGGTTTGACCATGTATTCTTGATTCTGATTCTTATTCCTCACCACCACTGAGAAAGCCACCAATAACATAACAGTGGTTGAAGCATTGAGGTTTGATGGTTGGAATTAAGATGTTCATTAAGTCAGGCATGCAAACCCCACAAGATTTGGTACATTGGAACATTCCCCTCATGCTCTAATGGAACAAAGGGCCACTAGATCAGGTATGATTATACTAAAAAATCATGACATTACTGCGGCACATGAAATGATGCAGTAAATGCGATAATATAACTAAGATAATGGGTGTACACCCAGTGGAACATTTGGAGATCAATAAGAACATGCAAGGACATTTCTCATAGAGTTTGACAAAAGGTAGGGACTTGAGCAAGGATTTAAGTTTATAAAATCTTGAGCTAATTACATATAATCCTATGTTATTATATCTCTTTAACATTCCGATCTTTAGACATAAAAAATTTATATAAAAATCTCTATAGTTATGAAAGTGAAACATTTGACTCTATTTATCTTAACGTCGTCTATTTTACCAACAGAAGCACAAAAACGATGGGAAAAAAAAATAATTTTAACGTCCCATTTATATTTTTAGTGGCGGCAAACGATGATATCACTAGGGGGTCGCGATTAATTATTGTGGATGAGGAGAAAGAACGATGACAAGAGATGAGATAAAGGGAGAGGAGGAGGAGGACGTTACCATCGTCCGTTACCATTTTCGATGCAGATGCAAAGCAGTGCCATCGTCCGTTATCATCGAAAACATAATTGAGACATTGAAATTATCTTTTTGTCCATCATTTTTGTGCTTTCATCGATAAAACTAACAACACTAGGGTAAATAGAGTTAGATGTTTTCCTTTCATAACTATATGGATTCCAATATTAATTTTTTTTAATTTAGAAACCGAAGTACTACGAAGGTCTAATTACATTGGGTAATATATAGTTAGCCCTTAAATCTTACCCAAAGATAAAAAAAATTGTTCTTCCATCCTCTCCTTTGATGCTATAAAAAAAAAATTGTTCTTATACAACTCATCTATCAAGTAAACTGACTTAGTTTTTTTGTTTCAGAATATTAAAAAAAAACTCATCTTACCCATGTTTTTGGTTCTGATCATATCTTTGATAATATTCCTCTAGGCAACACTCCATTTCTTAACAGTGTTTAAATCAATTTAAATCCTCAGAATTTATGGGTCACCTAATGCAGTTCTGGCAAGATTACCATGAAGGTCTGTATACTGAGAAGTACTAGTTTGTCCTTAACTTCCACTTTAATTTTCTAGTCCCAACGAATCCATTTTACACCCTTGTCAATGTCCATATACAAAGTTGGAGAGCCAGTCAAGATACCAAGAGGGATTTGCCAAGATATATCTCAACGGATTGGAAATGAAGTAACGAATATTAAGATGAACAAGGAGGACCAGACAAAAAGGAAGCTCATAATGCCAACGAATATTAAGATGAACAAGGAGGACCAGACAAAAAGGAAGCTCATAATGCCAACTTAGGTAAGGACCCTCCACAGGAATTAAAGTATATGGACTAAATAGCTGCAGACCGCTAAATGTGGACCACTCAGAGTGCTATTGCAGGGTGTTGCAGGGTGGAGCCAAGGAGATACTAGAGCTTCATTTAACAATCTAACATGATAAAATATAAAGGGAATACATGTCACTGTTCATGCTTTATCTAATAAGCTTTTGCAGTTATGTGAGTTACAAAACTGACAACAAAAGTAACAACAGTAATAGCTGCTTACCCAGCATTTTGAGGATATATATACCTAATGACAGGAAAGAAAAGTCATTTGAAGTTATCAGGATACAAAGCAAAATCAAATATGTTGTTCTCTTCAAAGCATCTTGATAAATATTTCAAGGAAAAAAAGTAATGCGCAAAGCATCATGTAAACAGTATTTACTCGCATTAACCACTGCATTCTCTTGTTACCTTCATTTCAAACTTATTCTTAGTTATCCTATTCGAAGAAAACTATTTCTTAGTTGTACTGGGAAAAAAAAGAGTTACTTAGTTCATGCCAAGGAGTGCACTTTTTCTTCTGCACTCATCTTTTTCACCTTCAGTCAATTATATACAAATATATATGCAAGCAAAAAAAATTCGTAAGAATCAATACCAAATACTAAAATATTATATTTATTTCTCACAACAAGTTATTTAGCGTTTTCGTATAACCCGATAGTTGAACAATTTTAACCATTTTCTTTTTAGATAGGTCCTTAGACCTTATGACAGTTGATGATTTGTGAAAAAAATTACCCGTTTTCTTTTTTATAAGAAATCCCTAAAACTAACAATTATAAAGTTTGTTTCTCATGTGTCTTTGATTTTTTTCTTTATAAATATTTCTTAAGATTGGGAAGGATCACTAGTTGCTGATAAAAGGCATAGACTTAAGCAAATAGAAAGGTTATGTTACCTGAGAGTGATTGAGGTTGACATTAATGAATTATGTTTAAGAAAAATGTCATCTTTGACCCAAGTTACAACTTAACTAGCTCATTTAACCTTGCTTTTCTAATAGACATTAATAGTCTCTGATGGCAGATACACTTTGAAAGTTCATTGCCTTCTAAAGGGTGTTATGCATGACATCTTAAAGTTTTGAGGGAAAAATTTGATATTTTGGTGTTTGGCAAGGGTACATATGAAAATTTTCCTTAAAAAACTCATTGATCATTACCACATGCCACAAGGACACTAGTGACGCTTACCATAGAAAGCTTGGTTGATTACATGGGTCTAACAGTATTATAAATTAATCCTAATCCCATGCTTTCTACCTGACCTTCTATCCAGTGGATTTATTTTAATTCCACACCTTGGCAAGCCACCAATAAATTCAGAAGAATGGTTGAACCATGAATGGGATGGTTGCAACCAAAATCTTTGGAAAGGCCAGGCAGGCTTTTAGTGTTATCACACTATAAAGCCTTGTCATGCTTTCATGGAGTCAAGGTAGCTTGTGTGTTCATTCAAACTGTGCAAACAAGCAAATGCAAAAGGTGGGTTATTTCAACAGACATGAGTAAATATAAGGACTAACATGTTCTAATCAAAACACATAA